ATGGTCAGGTTCTGCAGTTGAAGCAAGCACTCGAGCGCTTCGTAAATTCGACTACACTGCGGCAGCGAGATGGTTATAAGCTTACGGGTGGAAGCCATCAGTTGCGCTGTCGTCGTCAAACAGACCGCACCGATTCATTGCTAAAACAATTTCATTAGCATAGGAGTGTTTGGCAAAGCTTTTAACGGAATCATAGAACAACCGTTAATGTATCAGTATTCGAGCTTGATCGATTTCAACCAAACTCACACATGCGGCCTTGTTTTCGGTGAACTGCAGGGGCTTAAATCCCATGGAGATGTAACCAGATGAAATACCCCTCGTCTGCACCTAGAAGCGACGCGGCGGTGAGCTTTCGCCATATCAGCAATTGAAATGGAGCACTACACTAATGCAAAGATTAATGAAACGTTCACTCGTTTGCTGACAGCACATTAAAACTCTAACAACGTCAATGGTTACCGGCGCCTGAAACCTCAGTTTTAGTATCTACTTTGCAGATCGCTCAAATATCGTATTATAGTGATAAAGACATGACATGCCCATATCAATAAAATCATACCATGGGTACGAAGGATCGAAGGATTCACCTGTTCACACCGTGAGGGACTGACCAGACTCACAAATATATACTATTAGAGATGTTACTTTAGGCTTCCAGTGAGGAAACTTGAACATCGAAGAGGATGGAGGAACGACCTCCGTGCACGATGATGAGCGTAAGAAGGAGGCAGCAACAGCGCATCCTCCAAGAATTTCAACAAACCTAACGAACCGTACAAGGGATCATATCCACCGAAAATTATGAAAACCTGACCCAAACTTGAAGTAAAATATCATAAGTTTGTCATCCAATGGGACAGGTAAAGAAAATGAATTATTTCAGTTGACCGAGAATCGGCTGCGAATCGCGCCGACCACAAGGCGCCAGCCATTCCTCACGGTTTCAAGCCTTCGCTCTCAACGGCCTTCGCCTTCTTAGCCTCCGATGAATCTTTCCACCATCATGTAGATCATCCGGCAGCCTGGTCTGCCCGAAGATATGAGACTACGATCAATGCCGACCATCTTTCATCAGAGAGCGATATACCTGCATTTCCTTTCTGCTTTCGATGATCACGTCCTTCACTCCCTTCCATGTCTGATCACAGAGTTGAGCACGTGATTGCAACGTGAAACTCCAAAAAATCAGTCATTTATGACCTCACGGCGACGCACAGTTGGCGCTATTTGGCTTTGGTAAGTGACAGCCATTCAAAGTTGATGGTAGAACGATAGAATTGAAGAGATGGATGCGAGTTTCACACCAGCTGTTGTCCAGAAGAACGTTCTTGACGGAATGGAACATGTGCCAGTCGGCTCTATTTCTCTGTTGAGTTCCTCCACTTTAATGATGCTGCATGCCGATCTACTGACCAAAACAAATGTGATCATCTACATCCTAAATGTTTTCACCATTTTATATCACCTGAGCCATCGATAGGGTGTCCGATCGCACTACCTTCGTTTTTGACCGATGGATTCACTGTGTGACTTTTGCACTTTTCCTGTAGAGCTCTTGCAGAATCTCTTGTAGCTAAATGGAGTGTTCCACAAACAACACTACTCCTTGGCGAACCTTAGATGGCTAAACTATTCATCATTGATGTTAATCTCTTTGGTGCAGTTAATTATCCGGAACACCATTTCGAAATAGGAAACAGAGGGTTTGGGGGCAATGGTACTCCGCTGCTTCACGACGTTCTTGACGAAATTCCGGAGGGGATATTTAACAGCATGATATTCGGGAAGCAGCCAGAGTTCGTTTACGTGAGCAATTTAATAAAACCAGTTTCGATGCCATGTCCTGCCTGTGAAGTCGTACTGCGTTGTACTGGAAAACATCGAGTGCCCTCTCGTTGTCGACGTAATCTATACACACGGGAAGTTGGTATTTCACCAGGTATTCGAGAAGCTGATTTGAGGTAAATATTCTGTCCGTTGTGGTGTAGCTCCTTCAGAATCCTGCCTGCTGTTCACTCAGTCTTATTAGCAATCTGCTGGCGACAATTTTAGTAAAGAGCTCGTAGACTAACGACAGTAGGCGGATTTGGCAGTTGTTCTTCAGTTCTTCCTTATCGCCCTTATTGAAGCTGCACGACAGCTTCGACTACTTCTGGCTTGATGATAGCTTTTCAGTTTCCAAATCGCAAATAAATATCCTTCGCAGAGCCCTCCATGGCGTCGGACCAGATGTAAGTTAAAATTATGGGCATACAAAGTTTCGTTTAAAATAAGGAGTGACAAATTGCAAAATAGTAAGTAATGCCTGGCTTAGTTGCTCCCTAACAGCGGAGCACTACACCAGAGCTGACAGTGACAGTCATCAGACTCAAACCTAGAAGACTCGAGTTTGAGACCCGGTTGAGTCAGTCGCGTTTCTTCCTTACCAGTTTTATAAACGAGAACCATTATGTGGGAAGGAAATAGGCGACTACATGACATGCTTGTTACATAACTGTCACCGACTCCACCCGTAAAATAAGACACTTCTGGTTGATGGCATGGAAATGGTTAACAGCACTCAGTAATTAACTTAATAAATATTAGGACATTGAAAATCGTTAAATCATGAACGTGTTTGAAAAATTGACACAACAACGGTCAAAAA